TGCATTGTCTTGATAAAAAATTACTTTTTTGTGGTGCAAACTAAGTCTTTTCTCATAAATTTTTTCATCTAGCTGATCCAAAAAAATCTTCTGCAGATAATCAATCAACAAAACTCCTTTTGCTCAAAAAACTGATGCCATAACCTTCTTTGCTGATCGTTGTGACTGCACCTGCTTTGGAGCTGACCAACCAGTTTCAGTCCACTGTAAACGTTCTTGTTTCAATTTAGGATCATGGTGGTAGATCCAAGTCTCATCCATCGTCATAAAATACGCAAGAAATCGGGCTCATTCTGCTTAAAACGATCCAAATTATGCTGAGGAATTGGCTTTCGATCCAGGTTTTGTTGATTTGTCAACGTGTACGGCTAATTTTTCAAACAGCTTTTTTATATGTAATTCTCCATTTAAAATATGAAGTACTCATTTGTTTAAGATGCCTATGGCATTAGCAATTTCACGCTTAGTCAAACTTGGATCTTCACTAACAATATTATGAACTTGCTCAATGATTTCTGGTGTGGTTGCGGTTTTTGGTCGTCCTTCGCGTGAATCGCCTTCAAGCCGAGTACGACCACGTGTAAATTCACCAGCCCAAAATTCAACGGTTCGTTTTCAAGGTGAGGACTCCTTTTACACTGTGTAACAATTGGTCTCAAACTCCTTTTGCTTTTAAACTTTTCAAAACAAAGAATCTAATCACTGCGCGATATTAATGTTTTTCCACATTAAAAAAATACTTTGACACGTCAACTTTAAATGGCTTATAAACAAAGAATTAATTGACAGAATGATTTGTAACTTTGCATGTGTTCTCGCTAGTAGCTGTGTTTGAAGCTGATAGAGCTATTTCTTGGTGAGAGACCAGAAACTTTTCAACCAACCTGTATATTGATACAATATTGAGTTTATATATAAAATATATATAATATGATAATATTATATTATAAATGTGAAAGTGAACCATTTAACCGCAACATGCATAGAATAAGAGGTTATGACAATTATTAAATCATATGGTTATTGTTCTTGTAGCTGCAGAAAACATTCCTGAAATAAATTTGAAGTATGCTGGCTGACATCAAGATTTTTCCAATTTGAAATAAAATTTTAATTAAAAAAACAAGGGGTGTATATTAGGGTGGAGCGCAAAATTTTTTTTTGCTTAGCCTGAGGGTAAAACTTGTAGATTATAAAAAAAGAAAATTTTTGGAAAAAAAATATAAAAAATTTTAACATCTAGAAGCTGTGCAGAGACCTCTTTCGGCCATTTAAGAGTTATCAACTGTAAAAAATTTTTGTGGTCATTATTGGAGTTTTAAAATAAAGTCTTAAGCGACAACATGTTTTCCTTAAGTGTTAAAATAAATTTTCAGTCAATACCGTCAAATTCGGTCATTTTTATATAAATGTGATGAGTTTACACCAAAAAAACTTTTAACTCGAAATTTACTCTAAAAGTGAGTGGGACGTAGACGTAGGCGTTAAACATTTTTTTTATAATCTACAAAGTTAACCCTCAGGCTAAGCTAAAAAAAATTTTTTTTCGCTCCACCCTAGTGTATATACATATAATTAGTTATCTATTATTACAAAAACTCCAAGGGGAAGTTGCTGAGGAACAGAATACTGACAACGAATTATTAGATCTCAAATTTGGCGGTCTAGAGCATTTGGTGGGATGCAACGAATTTAAAACTGAAGTGGTTGAGTTTGTTAAAGATCTGAAGTATACATAAGTTGATCACGTAATCGAGGGCGGATTGGTAAAACCAACTGAAACAAGTAAGGAAGGGCTAAGTTCGGATGTAACCGAACATTTTATACTCTCGCAAAGTCAAATAGTATACTCGTTTGAGATTTCTTTGTGGATTGACTGATATTTTCGGTAGAAGGTCAACTATAGGCACTGGGGTCCACATATTTAGTACTTGGGGGCTTAAACAGTTTTGGTTCGATTTAGACAATTTTTGGTCACAAGGTGGCATACTTTAATCGCATTATTCACGCAAAATTTTATCCCGATACAGTAATTTTTGCCTGATTTGCATAGTGGAAAGTGAAAGAATCAGATGGAATTTAAAATGGTGTTATATGGGAAGTAGGCGTGGTTGTAGTCCGATTTCGCCCATTTTCGCACTATGATATAGAAACATGAAAAGAACGTTATGCACCAAATTTGGTGAATCGGTTAAGCAGATCTCAAGATATGGGTTTTCACCTAAAAGTGGGCTGTGCCACGCCCACTGTTTAATTTTGAACGCGGTTCCTATAAAGTCATCTCATACCATCCCAGAGATAAAATTTAATGTCTCTGGCGTGTTTAGTGCTTGATTTATCGCGCTTTTAGTAGTTTTTAACAGTACCGTTATATGGGGAGTGGGCGGAGTTGCCACCCGATTTCAACTATTTTCACACCGTCAATAGAAGTGCTAAAAACATTTGCTTCCAGTGAATTTTGTTATTATAGCATTAGCGGTTTAGGAGATATGCACATTAAACCTATTAGAGGCGGGACCACGCCCACTTAAAAATAAAAAAATTTAACTGCAGATGCCCCTCCCTAATGTGATCCCGTGTACCAAATAACAGTCTTGTATCTTATTGCGGAGCTTTGTTATGGCAATTTATTTGTTTTTGATTAATGGCGTTTTGTGGACGTGGCAGTGGTCCGACTACGCCCATCTGCAATACGAACCGTCTCACGGTACCAAGAAACATGTCTACCAAGTTTCATAAAGATATCTCAATTTTTACTCAAGTTAGAGCTTGCACGGACAGACGGACGGACGGACGGACGGATGATCGAACAGACAGTCACCCGGATTTCAACTCGTCTCTTCATCCTGATCATTTATATATACATAGCCCTATATATAACTCGATTAGTTTTAGGTGATACAAGCAACAGGTTGCGAGAGTATAAAAATAGTGAAGGTGATGACCCAATGTGAAAAAAGACTTAACATAACATATAAATGGGCAAACCATTTTAATATCAAACAAGTAAGGAAGGGCTTAGTTTAGGTGTGACCGAACATTTTATACTTTTGCAACTTGTAAAGAACAAAGCCGGCTATATACCTTCAGGTGTTGCTAAAACTTTATATCACAAAATGTAGCGAAAGGGTTCAACTTTATTGTTCGACGAAACCGTGGATTACAATCAAATTTGGTATCATATTACCTTCATTTGAAGGTCATAGACTCACTTAGTTTTATTACCATAAAAATTATACTTAAATCATCTTCAAATGTGATATGTAGGTATATGTGATATAAACACAACCGAAAAGGCTAAATATTATATATTTAGTTGATGTGAAAAATGTCATCCAGAGGATCGAAATTCATTAGGGATATGAGGTTTAGACCAAGACCAATGTCATTTATATTGAGCGCCAAACTACTTGTAATAACTTAAAAAAAAACGTTTCCACTTTATTTTATTACAATAATATAAATAAATTAATAAAAATGTGTCATATTTATATCGGGGCTAAGAAAAGCTCTTCCCCGATTTTATCCATTTTATGCACAAAGATACACTGTTATTAGAAAAAATTTCTTTAAATTTTATTAAAATAACTCACACATTGGCCGATACATTTGTTATAAAGTCAACTGGAAGCTCGAAAACCTTTACCCTTTTTTATATTATTCTTTTCATTAGTATATCGAGGCTAAGGGAAGGGACACAAGGATATATTATTATTAAAGAAGCATCTTCCCCTAATTTGAACATATGTATCTCACAGATTGACCGATAATTTCGGCAGAATGTCTGCCAAACGCACTGGTGTCACCATATTCGGTATGTGGAGGCTAGAACAGTTGTAGTGGAATAAAGGAACCATTTGTGCAAAGTTTCATCCGAATATATTCATTGGTGCTTGATTTGTGGACTGGAAAGTGCAGGAATCATATGAAATATTAAAGTAGGTGTGGTTATAGTCCAATTGCGTCAATTTTCACATTTTATGTTAACATAGGATTGTCAGGATAATGTTTCGCACCAAATTTGGTTGAAATTGGTCGAGTAGGTGCGGAGATATGTGATTTCACCTCAATGTGGGCGGTGCCACGCCCATCGTCTAATTTTGACCGCGGTTCCTATAAAGCCCTCTTGTATCCTCCTGGGTGTAAAATTTAATGTCTCTGGCGTATTTAGTAGTTTTTAACAAAACCGTTATATGGGAAGAAGGCGGGGTTAAAATACAATTTAATCCATCTTTACACTGTTGGTTTTGATAGGATTTTTCCTAAGCGAATTTGGTTACTGTAGCTTTAGTGGTTTAGAAGATATGTACATTAAACCTATTAGAGGGCGGGGCCTCGCTCATTTTTTCAAAATGTTTAACCCACAGGTGCCATTTATTACTGTAATCCTCTGTACCGAATTGCAGGTTTTTATCTTTATTTAGTGCTTAATTATGGCGTTTGACTTATAGCGTTTTGTGGGCGTGGCAGTAGTCCAGTATCTTAATTTTTACTCAAGTTAACGCTTGCACAGACGGACAGATAGACAGTCACTCGGATTTTAACTCGTCTCATCATCTTGATCATTTATATACTTATATAATAAATATACTTATATGTATAACCCTATATATTATATAACTCCATTAGTTTTAGGTGATACGAGCAACCGTTAGGTAAACAAAACAATTACACTCTGTAGCTACATGTTACAAGAGTATAAAAAATGTATCCAAAAACATTTGGAAGAAGCCAGAATGATATGCTTTTTTGTAAATCAAATTTGAGAATGTTAAAAAAATTAAAGTTTGTGGAATAATTTGAAAAACTAACATAAAAAAATGCAAAGAAAACGTCTTCGTTATATATCTATTAATCAAAGAAAATTGGGGTTTGCTGGTAACTTCCACCACCACGAAGATGATCAGTGCGGCATACATTCGTGTACATACTATGTTTTTAGTTCTTTTTTTTTATGATTTGTGGTAAATTAAAGCTATTATAGTAAAAGTAAAACTCACCTGAATTACAGTTTTCCTCGGAATGTGGCTGTTTTTATTATGAATTGTCTGCGATTGTGGAGGCAAAGATAAAGTCAAAGGCTCTTTTTGAATCAATTTGTTATGCTTATTAAAATTAGTGGTATTAATTCTAACAAGATCTTGTGATGTTATTTGCTTTTTAGTTTTAGAATTTGAAAAGAGCGTGTTACATGGTTGAGAGTTATCTTGATTTAAATTTATGTGCTGACTGTCGTTAATATGGTTAAAATGCAAGCGAACATTTTTATTATTATCGGTATAAGCTACGTTTGAGGCATCCAACGGATGAGTTTTGAAACAGCCTGTAGGTATGTTAGCAAATTTATTTTTATTTTCAATTTTCTTTTTATTATGCGACGCAGCAAGTTTTTTCCAAGACAATGCACTAATAAATAACGAGTGCTTTTTCATACTCTTTTCAATAGTAGTTTTTTCCGTGAAAAGTGCAGAATTTTCATTGTGTGAATCCAAATCATTGTTAATTGTGTCTTTTGTACCTTTTAATTTATTGAAACTATAGCTGGTAACATGACTTTGCTTGCCTACATTTATTCTTCCACATCCATTATGCGCAATTATGCCATTTTTAGCAAGCGGAACATGAATACTTTGCTTCGTTTCCTGATTTTTGGCATTATTCAACTGCTCGTAGCAAAAGTTGTTCAAATGAGAGTCCATTAAAGAAGAACCTTCCAATATATATTCGTTTCGAACGTCAGATTGTTGGTTATATTGAATGCTAGTCTGGGATGAATAAAACGGATGGCGTTCTCTTGGATTAAAGCTTAATACCGTCCCCATTATGGTAAATTGATAATGTCTAAAAATAATAGAATCCAATTATTTTTTAGTACTTACATTAGTGTATACACAATAAGAAGACTAAACTAACTCTACGAATCTTGCAGGCTTTCAAATTATTTAAATTTTTACTCATACATGTAACTATCCATGATAGGTCTGGGTAGGGCAATAGCTAATTGAAGAACTCAATAGGTAGATTGAGCCTATGTAGCGCCTTTGTAAAATATGAAATAAAAAATGAAAATTTCACTTTTCAAGTCCGTTAGTAAGAACTTTGAAGATATCTTTTCAAATAAAGCATGATAGTTGACTAAATCAAAAATAATACCTTAAAGATTATAACGGATATTTTTACTATATGGATCTTTATATTCATTCATTTAGTACAATATAGGTGAAAAGTGAAACTCTTCTGCGAAAAACAACTCAAAGATTCAAAAACTGTCAGTAACCATCCGTTTTAGAAATGGATCGATTTTGTTCCGATTCAGCAAAGATTTGCCGATAAAAATCGGTTCATGAGATTTTTTTGTGTGTTTTGCTCTCATTTTTTTTGTATCCAACTAAATTAAATGATTCCGAGTGATTTTTTATGCAATGTTTAGCTCCTGAGCAATCAAAACAAAGCTTATATGACGATCGGACTCGACGATTTCCATTATTTTATCGAGCATCTTTGACAAAACTTCCGGAACGGATGATTGCGCGTAATTGGTTGTTACAGTATTAGGACTATTCATATTTTCCGCCTTATATCAGCCTGCCTTGTGGTTTCGCCTTTATCGACGAAAACTGTAAAATATGGCTTATTATCTTTTTGTTGGTGTCCATCTTTAAAGAGTGTCTGAGTCAAGCAATCACAAAACTCTCTGAGAAATTTTCTAGTACGAAATCTTATATTTTTATAGCTATATAGAGTAACTCTTATTTCGATATAAATCAACTAACTTGTACCTCATAATAATTATAAAATATTTTTATGAGATACTGTCTGCCGATGTATCAATACAGCGTGCCCAATACATACCTACACAAATTTGTAACTTTGAAGCTGGGCAATCTAAGATATACGAGTTTACGTAATGAAGATATACTATTCGATATTTTTACGAAATTAAAAGATAATTGATTAAAAAATAATTGTCGAAATAAAAAATTGGAACTTATCAATATTGTCGTGTAATACAATGGAGTCAAATTTTAAATAGTAGTTGAATGATTGATCACTGATAAAATTTAAGAACCACTTGGTCCAAATGAGCTATTCTTGGAAGCAGGCCTGGTTACATACCTAACAGCATGTTATGTTACACTGGACCATGTTAAAAATGGAATATTGTCTTTTTCGTGATTCATCGGCTATTTGATTTGGTTCTGTTTAATTTTAATCAATTCTAGATCTCAACTCAGTAATAGTGCGTATTAAAATAATAAACAATTTAACTGAAAAAAGGCGAAAGATAAACTAAATGCACACATCAATCCGAAGAATCCTAAGCGCGGCATTCAGGTACGTTGTAGTGCTGAAGCAGCGACAAGGATGACATAATGAGAGACTGTCTAATTTTCCTTAATTTTTCTCTCATTCTCTTTCCCTGATTATTGAACAGCTGATATCAAAAAAGGCGGTATACCAGAAATGAACCCCGCTAAAAGAAGCTGGCAGAAGCAATGCAAAACGAAATTTATAGGAACGACACAAATACCTTTGAACAACGTGCATGTAATTTTTTTCTGCTATTCCTTGTTATAAATGCGAAATATTTGCATTTAAAGAATTAATCATGAAATCATGATATTTTATTTTGAGTTTAGTTTCTTTATAGCTTTTTTCTGTTAAAGATTAATAAATTTATTCATGAAAAATATTAATAGAAAATAATTTCATTAATAATTTCAAACTATTTTAATGAGTTATTATGTACAAATCTATAGAAAGTTCGGGTACGAGAAAAAAATCTCGGGACAAGTTACAATTTGGAAACATTAAACTATTAGGTCAAGTAAAAAGTTCGTTCGGTTTTTATCTAAGAGATGGCGTTATTGTCTATAGGACTAGTGTTACGTGTCGCATCATGTCATACTATACGTCGCTGAAAACGTGTTTATTCGCGCTAAAAGTTTGTCTTTGACAGTTTCTCGATTGATTTACTCAGTTCGTTGTGAGCGCTCGTCAAAGAAAAAAAGCAGCCAAAGCGGCTGAAATAATTAATTTAGTTTATGGGCCCGATACTGTAAACGAACGTGTAGCACAAAAGTGATTTGCTAGTTTCCGTTCCGGTAATTTCGATGTCAAAGATGCACCACGCGTCGGGAGGCCTGTCGTCGAAAATTGCTAAACAGACCGTCACGTGAGCACTTATTTAATTGCTGAGGAACTAAAGATAAGCCAGCAAACCGTTTGGAACCATTTGCATAACCATGGATTCAAAAAGGAGCTCGATGTTTGGGTGTCACACGAACTAACGCAAAAAACATGATGGACCGAATTTCCATCTGCAAATCGCTGCTGCTTCGCAACAAAATCAACCCGTTTCTGAAGCGGATTGTGACTGGCGATGAAAAATGGGTCACTTACGACAACATCGAGCGCAAAGGATCGTGGTTAAAGCTCTGGGAAGCAAGACGCCAAGAAGGTTTTGCTGTGTGTTTGGTGGGATTGGCAAGGAATCATCTACTACGAGCTGCTCCCCTATGGCCAAACGCTCAATTCGGCACTCTACTGCCAAGCAGCACTCATCCAGAAGAGGCCATCTTTGATCAACAGAGGCCGAATTGTGTTCCATTAGAACTTTTTACTTGACTTAATATATACATTTTGGTTCAAACAAAATCTATATTTCATATTCAAAGTCCACTTTGGCATATATCCTGCAATACCCATACATCAGTGCTTTTTAAGGTTTTTTCGTGACGCGACCCCTTTATTGTGAAGAACAATTTCGCGACCTCCCTAATCTCTACTTTTGTTTAGCTATGTATTTTTATACGTCATAAATATTAAACTTACACCCTACAACGGTACCTTTATTATGTTAACTAGGATTCAGGAGAAATATATAATTAAGAACGTAAAACACATTTTTGTACATTGAATACGTGTTCGATATTATTGATAGCGCAATTCACACAGATGTAACGTACTGCTGATACCGATGCTGGCCGGGAGAAATGAGAAAGCGTTGCTGTCTAGTTATCGAGTAGTGCTTCGTGAGGCTAAAGCTGGAAAACCTCACACTAATAATTATGTTTGCCAAACAAGAGGTAGAGAAACTTAAAAGTACACCTCTCTCTGACAACACCATCCAACGCAGGATAAGCGATATGACGACTGAGGTTCGCGATCAAGTTATAGAAAAAATACGAATAAGTACTTTTGTGGCCTTGTAATTCATGAAAAATTTATGGAAGAAATACTGTTTTGTAGAGCGCTGCCCACGAATACTATAAACCAGTTCTTGCATAACATGTTCCTTGAAGCTACTAAAAATATGAATATAGATTGGGTAAATATAATATAATATATTGCTATTTGTAAAGATGGAGCGAAAGCCATTACAGGTGTAAACAGTGGATTTATTGTGACTGAAAGAACAGATGCCAAACGCATGTTCGATGCATTGCTTTCTCCATCGCCAAGCTCTTGCGACCAAGTTCTAAATGTTATTATAAAAATGGTGAACTCCATTAAAAAAACAAAGCTTTGTAGACAAGATTGTTGAGAGGTGAGGTGGTTATCAAGAGGCAAAGTACTCACCAGAGTTTTGGAACTACGCGCTGAACTCTTGATATATTTACAGTAGGTCAAGTCAGAATACTCCAAATTTATTTATGACCCCAAATTCCTTTTGAAATTGGCTTTTCTTACTGTCTTATTTGAGCATTTAATCATCTTGAACAAAAGTCTTCAAGGACAGAATGAAAATATCATTACAGCTAAAGACAAAATTCATGGTTTTACAAACAAAATTGACTTGTGACTATCGTCTCTAAATTAAAGCAACTTCGATACATTTTCTTCGACTTCGAGTCTTTTATTGAAGAAATCGAGCGTAAGATAAACATCAAAGACTTAATGCCTGGTATGAAAATAGTATTGAAAAATTTGAAAGACGATCTATGTCGTTACTTCTCAGTGCAAGAAATTTCAAAGAACACTGGAAAAAGGTGGGTCTTAAATCAATTTTTAAATGCAACTACACACGTGGCAAATTTGACAATTAAGCTCAAAGACAATCTGCTTGACTTATCTGCCGATAGAATGCTGCAGTAGGAGTTTGAGTTGGCTTATTTGGATACCTTTTGGTTAAAAAGGAATCCGAATACCCAAAGTTAACTACAGAGGCTTTGAAGTGTTTAATTCCATTTGCCAGCTACAATTTTGTTCCATGGCCCAAATTAATAGTAAGGTGTATAAGATGAAAGAGATCTCATTATTTTAGTTTTTGTTAATAAGAGACAACTAATAATGTTTTGTAGTGATTTTTATAAACTGTTTTTAACTTATTGTTTGTTTTTATTCTTAAGTAATTTTACCAACTTGTTGCAACTAACAAATGATTCACGACCCCTTTCAAAACGTTTCGTGACCCCCAGGGCATCGTGACTCACGCAAGCAGGATTGCGTACTAAACATTTCAGCACATTCGTGCATACATAGGTACAAAGTGCATTGATCTCTTCAACGAGCTCTCAACTGCATAAGTACATAAATACATACGTACAAGTCCACGCATTAGGGTGTACCTACATAAGCATAAATAAGGACATAAAAGACCTAAATAAATGAAGAATACGGTTGTTAATAAATAACTAAATAAAATAAAATTAAACAAGTAAGGAAGGGCTAAGTTCGGATGTAATCGAATATTTTATACTCTCGTAAAGTCAAATGGTATACTCCTTTTAGATTTCTTTGTGGATCTTGCCGCCTTGTCCTATGTTGACCGATATTTTCGGTAAAAAGTCAACTATAGGTACTGGGGTCCACATATTCAGTACCTAGGCGCTTGAACA